ATATTACTGTATGTTTTAAAGTCTCTATACACAGTTAATGATGAATCACTATAAATTAGTTGATTATTATTGAAATAATCAATGAATACGATTCATTTTTTCAGCCCCAGATAAAATACATGAAATGGGCTACACAGAGTAACTACAGCCCAGATATTCAACTTTTATAGTGAAGTTAATATTTTAATGAATGTATTATTTTGCTTGATATAAAGAGAGCATAGTAGGTAAAAATATAAGAGTGGGGTTTAACTCTGCACAATTCTATATCTTCAATAGAAAATACTGTATTTACCTTCTGTCTTAGTTGTTCAAATGAAACCACCAAAAAAATTTTTAAGATCCTCATTAGTTTTAACCAAAGTTGCTAATCTTCCTGTGGTCAAATGAATAAAATACAAAAACTCATTCAACATTAAGGAGCGTTTGGCAATAACGCATGTTCCTCATCATATTTTACATACATACATTTCCAACATTCAATTTCAGCGCTCTTTTAAAGGAAAATTCTTAATTCTCTAATGTTTTTAGTTAATTTATTCCATTATTTAATTGTTCTATAGAAGAGAAAATGAATCTTGTTTCAGACGATTATCTGGTAAAATGATTACATATCTCATCAGAATAAATAAGTTTCCATTAAATGATTAACTTCTCCCTGTTGGATTGTGTTAAGAAAAACAGATAAATTACACCACAAAATAACCTACAAAAGAGGCCTTCTAAAAAAGTTAAAAAGCTATTTACTCGACTTTGTTTCCAAGTTTGAAGATGTTTCCCCTCCCATCCAGGAAGCTTTTTCAATTAAAATTTTCAGAACTATCATTGAGTTCCAAGCTTTATAGAGTGGACCACAAAGAAAGCCTTGTTTTGGCTTAGAGAACATGCAAATCTAACCAGACAAACAGGTTCAGTTCAATTTGCATGAAGCTGTTGATGTCAAATGTTCCAGGTCAGAAGTGGATCTAAAATAAGGAACCATCTGGCCAGAAAATGTGGCTCATGTGATTAAAGCCCTCCAGACTAACAGAGTTACTCACTGTCTGGTTCTGGTGAATTCTGTGGATCTGAGTGGATTCTGGACTTGGCTGAACTAAATGAAGCTAACCTTGCATCATTAAGTTTAAGTTTGCATGTTTTTAAAACAGGATTAAAATGATTCTCTCTTTAAAATGTAAATAAATGATTAACTATCTTATATATTCAGTTGAATAGAGTCATGAACTGCAGGTTGAGGAGTATCCAGGTCTGATTTAAAGGAAAAGTTATAAAAAGTTCTGCTAAGAAATTAAGATCATGAATATTCAAAGAGAGAAAAAGAAAAAGTTTGTCCACCCCACTGTGGACAAACTTTCCCCCCAGCAGACTGCTTATGACGTTGGAGCTGAAACCACAATGTTCTGGATATGCCTGAAGGCCTGCTCCGCCGTCCTAACATAACGTCAACAACAGAACACATCCTGATCTCAGAACTCAGGTCAAATTTCATTACTAAGAAGGACCCGTCCTATATGACCTCACAGGAAACCCACAGAGGCAGAACAGAACCCTGATCCCTTGGTGACCCGTTCAAACAGGGAGCCAGCAGCTCCTTCCTGCTGACACCAAACAGGCCAGCAGAACCGGGCCAGGATGTAAGAGTGGAGCATGAAGGCAAATATATTCAGATGGAATGAAAATCAGCCTCTGGCTTCATGCAAATGAAAGAAGAAGAACCTCAGCTGCAGAGCTGGATGCTGCAGTTTAGAAGCTGCAGGACAGCAGCTCTGGAGGACTGGACCTGGGTATCCCAGATTGATATCAACATTTATGTGTAAAACGAAAACTGTCATTCATTGTACCTAAGGGTCAAAACACTGAAGTGTATGGTCGTTGTGTGACTGGTTTAAAAAAAAAAAAGAAAAAAAAAGACAACACAATTCAACTCTAAAAAATGAAATAAATCCTACTTGTCAGGAGGGATACCCAACTGAAACTCCTACAATAACAAGAAAAAAAAATCAACTTATAAACTAAAGTAGTACTTCACAAAATGAAGATGGAGAACTTGGATCTGCTGCCAAACAAAGGAGTCAATGTTCCAGCTTTGGATCATAGAGGCTCACTTCTTGGAATAATTCAACAAACAGACTTCCTGGAGATGTTGGATGATCTTCACTACATTCTCCGACTTTCCTGAGTTCAGAACATTAACATCTAAAGTGCTGTCCCACTCTTCATCATCATCCTCTTCTTCATCACTGAAAACAACCAAAGCCATGATGGAGCAGTCCTTTGTTGTCATGGCGATGAGGTACTGATGGACCTTCAGGTTATGCTCTGATCTGAGCAGAGAAAAATCAAAACCTGTTAACCAGTGAGTTTAATAGCAGCTGGAAAAAAGTAAAGCTCTTAATGTTTACAGATTTTAGTCAGAACTAGAAACCGCAGCACTGACAATGGTTTATTTCAGTTTTTAGAAGGGTTGGTGAATGAAAAATTCCGTAATGGGTAAGCAGCAGGTTGAAAAGGTTTTAGCTCCTCCCCTTTACCTGCCACACCTGAACTAAAGCAGGAAGTAATTTGTGATTGTTGGTTCCTGCAGAGAGACTCCCAGACGATCAGATTC